GTGATTGGATCAAATTTTTATCACGCCCGAACACTACTGTCTACTGTCGATTAGTTGTCCTATGGCCATTGTCTGCGATGGACGTTACTCCGAAGAAGCGTATAGAGGTTGTACTGCTGTACGAATACACTGGCAAGCCTGACCAGTGAAGAAATTGAGGTAATATAGAGTGAACCGGAAACTATCCTGATTTAAATCAAATCGAGAATCTGTGGTCAATCTGCAAATAACGACTTCGTGGAATGGTCATACGAAGTACCAACATGTTCACTGGATTTGTTTTATTGGAAAAATTCGAAAAAAGTAAATAATAACTCAATTATTCGTTTTCTTTCAATTAATTTGTATAAATGTCTAATTAAGTAATAAATAATAAATAAATTGTTAAGAAATAACATGATAAAATAAGTACAATTAACTGTAGTGAAAGATATAATCACCTACCTCGAAAAAGCGTTCGTGTTTTGTGTGCGATCTATCGAAGAAAAATTACCAAAAAAGCAGTTAGCCAAAATCTACTTTAAGGACCAGAATCTATGCTAATGTTCTTCCCTTTCCTGAATATCGTGACCAATCAGAATGATCTCTCGGGGAACAAAAGCCGTTGTTTTTCGCTTATGTGGGATTAGATTTTCTGAGTTTGGTGAAGGTTAGATTTGTGACCCCATTTTGTCTTTCTACGTTGCCTGTTGGACTGTTACGACGGACTATCATTTGACCTGTGATTTGGTTACAAGTGCTGCGGGCGAGAGACAGAAGAAATCTATTGCAGACGTTTGTTGCTACTATAAGTTGAAAGGTTTTTTGGTTCTTTTTTCTTTTCTTTACAACTACATTAACTGCATTCGGATTGTTTCATCAAATCCTACTGAAAATGATTGCAAAATACTTAAATGATTGCAAAATAGTTACCGTGATGAACGCTGTTTCAAGGTTGATGACTCAAAATAAGTTGGACATTAAGTTAAGTTTGCTGTCTAAGTAGTCAGTGGTTTACCTACTTCACGCCGCTGGCGAGTATTGTGTTTTGTTGATGTTATAAAGATTGCCATTCCATTTCCAACGTCCATTTTGGTTATTTCTCATTCAGTAACCGATTCTGGGTGACAACAAACACATATCAAACATTCTGGTGACTTAATCCAGATAATACGTAAGGTAAATGTGGAAAACATGGTTATGGTGAACCTAGACATCAAATCATTAAACCCCAACATAACCATCCCAAAATTCTTCAACATATGAGAAACCAACAAAAACGATCTAATTAACTTCTATTCTCACCAAAACCAAAAGATAAAATCTGGACGTATGGGAGGTAATTTTTTTAGGATATCCATAATTTACCCGAAACAATCTGCGAACAATTTGATCGCCTCAATACCCAAAACCACTGCGACATGGATGCAAATGCATTTGCCGTATTAATCCAATTTCTCGATGGTCGTAGTCTGTCATAACAGGAGGGAAACCCCAGACAATGGCAAGAAATCACTGCCAATTTTGAGAGATCACTATTTATCAAAAGGAAAACTGTAAATAATTTCCTTATATACGGAATCAAACTCCGTACCCAAAACAAATGCTGAAAGTATTACTGATTATATTTTTAGTGCTGCAAATTATATAGAATTTAAAAAAAAAATTCCGGATAAGTAATTAGTGATAGTCTGCTAACAGCCATGCTTCTATAAAGCCTTTCGTCCGATTTTAAACAGTTAACAATTATTATTACTTAGAAAGACAAATTAGTAACATTTAGTTAATTTAAAATAGCCTTGCGATGCTCCGAAGAAACTGAAAAGTTGATTGACGAGAATAACAATGAAAATACCGTAATGCCGTTCAGAATTCCAAGATCAAAACCACTCACTCATAATATCCCCCAATGCTTTATATGTGGTAAACAAGTACATAAAATCAGTTACTTTTTTCCCCTTTTCTTGTTTGTTTATTACAAACTTTGTCAATTCTCTTTGTTAGGCACTTCAGCCATATACATTTCATTTAACCATGGTCACTCATTCTACAGATTATGAGTCCGGGAATAGACTCTGTTTCTACGATGACGAATATGAACTATGGGAGGTAAGAATTTTAGGATACATGAGAATCCTAAAATAACACGAAACTTTTACGTTTGATCGTCCCAAATACGAAACAATGTTTGTATTTGATCGTCCCAATTACGAAGAATACTGTGAAAACAATGCAAACGCATTTACCAAATTAATCCAATTTCTCGATGTTCGAAGTCTGTCTCATATTATAAGATAGGCCACATCTCGGTCTTATCTGACTCAGTCTCAATCTGTCCTGTCTCGTAGACATGTCCGTTTATCCGAATTAACTTTTGAGTGATAAAGCCAATTCTTAGTTTGTTAACACTTTTTTGCCTTCTTACTGTTGTTTGTCTTGGTTATATTGTTTGTTTACTCAGTAATATTTTTTCATCCTGTTCTTTTCTCTCGTATTATTGTTTATTACAAATTTTGACAATTCTATTTGTTAGGCCAGTTTTACCATTTGCATTTAACCATGACCACTTACCCTACACGGATCCACAATTATTTTTACTGAATAGCGTCTAGAATAATTTAAAACATAACCGTTACCGCCTACACAATAACCTTTTGGTTAATACAATAGACCTTCCTACACACAATGAACCATTGAATTTATAAATAGTCGAGCCAAAAAACAATACACATGGCCTCAGACAAATTGTCGCCGCTTGTTTTTGATCTGTGTTTCCATATATATAATTATATATATATATATAGATAGATAGATAGATAGATAGATAGATAGATAGATAGATAATATTAGTGGTAAATATACACATACATATGCAAAATATATAAATATATATACATAGGTGCATACACATATATGTATATTTTTTTTATAAAAAATTCCAAGAGGATAGAATCCAGGTAGAACTCAATGTCCAGGACAGAGTAAGGATATAATATTAAAGGCTTAAACACTAATATTCCAAGGTCATAATTTATTCCATTGGAATCGTAAATACGATCCAATTCATCAGATCTACAAATTCAAAAAGAAAACAGAAAAAACAACTCCGGGAATAAAAAATTATTTTTGAATTTGTAGGTCTGATGAGTTGGATCGTATTTACGATTCCAATGGAATAAATCAAGAACATGGAATATTAGTGTTTAAGCCTTTTTATTATACACACACACACACACACACACATACACATATATATATATATATATATATATATATATACACAAAACAGAACATGTTTGTGTGTGTCTGTGTGTGTTTGTATGCTATTTATGCACGCCCGCATTTCACGACCGATTTCGATGCAACTACACACACATATTGAAAATTCACGAAGTTAGGTCAAGATAAATATTGGAATCACAATGACCATCCAGGTTTGGTAGAAAAATCGATAAAATTAAGGTGTGTACGACTTGTTGTAAAAACTAAAGTTACACGTGAATAAAATTTTTACTGGATGAGCTGATGTTCTTTGTACTTAATGGAAAACGTAACTGATGTTACGCGATTTATGTAGAGTGATTGATAGCATTTCTGCGACAAAACCCAAAACCTGTGAAAAAATCGGGTTTTTTGTACTACTTAAAATAAAAACTTGAATAATTTTCCGAATTTTTTTTTCCCGATCTTCTTTAATCATGTCGTAACAGATTTGCCATCATAGAAGAAATAAGGTACTTTAGTTTTAGTCCTGCTCGCTTCCTCGATAAATCGATAAAAATGATGGTGGGTACGATTTTTTACAAAATCCAAGGCAAAGTTAAACGCGAACAAAATTTTTACTGGGTGACCTTTTGTTCTTTCCGTTTAATGCAAAACAATAGTTCATGATACGAGATTTACGTAGAGTGATTAATAGTTTTCTTGCGACATTTGTTTCACACACAAAATTGCAAAATACTGTGAAAATATCGGGTTTTTCCTACTACTTAAAATGAAAACTTCCTTAAATTTTTATCCGATTTTCTTCAAATATGTCGCAAAAAATCTGCCATCATGAAAGAAATAATTGTGGTTTTAGTCCTGCTCACTTCCCTGCGTATACTGACAAACCACAAATAACTGTTCAAAAAACTACTTTTTCGCCCATAACTCCCTTAATTTTCATGTGGTGCTATCCAAATTTGCTACGTACATGACATATGACACACAGATTGTCTTGCGCGAAAGTTGGATTTAAATTATTTCAGTAAAGTGGACGAAATCTGCGACAAATTATCTCCAAAATAGCCTTTTGCAATTTGCACAATAATTTCTTCATCGTCACAAATTTGCATTCGAAAAACCTTTGATGCAAAGATTGTTTAAGAATGATTATTGAAGCGTTAAAATAAATAAAAAAAACTCCCGAAGAACCTCTTATTAAACCCAGCTTTACAGGAATCGTGCGGGAATGGACGTAGCGTTCATGCATTTGCAGTTGGATCATGCTCTGCCATTTCATCCCTGTTCTTGTTTGATTATTAAATTTGTGAACAATGCCTATTTGAAAGTTATTGTGGCCATAGGAAATTTACTGAATATCTAAAACATTGAAACAATTTAACCCGAGCAACAGTCACACAAGAAAGTTTTATGAATAGAATTCCTTTATTAAGAACGATTATTTGCGAAGGTCAAACTACAAAAAAATATTAGGTGAAGAATAGTATAGCATAGTATACCAAACGTGGATTCAATCAGACATTTCGAGACATCAGGATGCGGGTAAATGGAGTGGGGTGCGTTATACAATTGCTGTGATCCGTTTATTCATTAAAATTATATTTACTCATTTTCGTCTGCAATCCTAAATGTTCGCTAAATCTTGAGATAGATGGATAGATCAGAACAGACCGTGATAGAAAGAGAGCGATATATTAAGATTATATGTGGCATAACGCCGAAAGTTAGGGGCGCCCAGTGAGGATTAAACTGAATATTCCGTAGTAATCGATCTAGCGAGAGAAAGTTTCTAAACATTAAACCATGTAGGAGTGCCCGTAGATAGATAGATCGATAGATAGATAGATAGATAGATAGATAGATAGATAGATAGGAACAGACTGTGATAGATAGGAACAGACTGTGATAGATAGATAGATAGATAGATAGCTAGATAGATAGATAGATAGATAGATAGGAACAGACTGTGATAGATAGGAACAGACTGTGATAGATAGATAGATAGATAGATAGATAGATAGATAGGAACAGACTGTGATAGATAGATAAATAGATAGATAGATAGGAACAGACTGTGATAGATAGATAGATAGATAGATAGATAGATAGATAGATAGATAGATAGATAGGAACAGACTGTGATAGATAGATAATAACGACGCAGATGTAAGATTTAGAATCACTCCAATGAGGACTGGTCACCGGTTGATATTTCAACGCTCTTTTCTATCACTGAACAATGAAACTCAGCTGAAATCACACACACACACACACACACACACATATATATATATATATATATATATATATATATATATATAATTTGTGTGTGTGTGTGTGGATGTGATGTTGGATAGTTTCTCAATTTGCAAAAAGTAGTACTGTTTCAGTATGCAGTGTAGTCAGTATCTCGTGAGTTAAGATCAAACGAATCTATTGCTCATTGTTGATGTAAATAATTAATATATATATATATATATATATATATATATATACGTATTATATACGTATGTATTTATGTATATGTATATATGTACTTTGTATATTTGTGAATGACGAGCTTCCAATTGTTTAATATGTATCATTTAGGGTATCGATTTTTAAACGTAAGCCAACCAATGCAAGCATTTAATGGACGAAACCCGACCTTGCTCCAACGGTTTTTTTTCTTTTTCCTTTTGTGCTTGGTCGAGGGCATCGTAAGATTGTAAATTTGCAAAATGTCGCATTCTGACGATCTTTAGTATGCCTAAAAAAGAAAGTAAAAAAAAAAGAGTAAGTTTTTGTTGCTAAACCAGTCAGTAGGACGGAGTCAGTGGGATGGAGTCAGTGGGACGGAAGGAACACGTTCGAAAAGAGATTTGTCGACATCTAAAATAACAGTAAAAAAAAAAAAAGAAATATCCTGCTGAAACCATAAATAATACATTCAGTTTTCGATCACGATTCAGGATTTGAATGATGGTAACATTGCAGTAGAAGCCAAACCGTCCCTCTCTAACACATACATTTCTTTTGATTGTATTCCCATAGCAACTCAGCTAACGGCTATATCATGTAGAATCACCGGTTTTTCGCAAGATCACTGCTGTAGCATACTTACGAACAATAATGGCTATGTCCCCATTCACATAAATACAGTCGTAAATACTGTATGTTAGACTGCAGATGGAGATTCGTTTCCAGCTGTGCTGGTTAAACTTTCTGTCTCCGGGCAGTAAGGATCCTCAGACGGGGCTATGTCAAAGGGTAGAGTCTCGTCTCGGAAAACAGCAACCGACCCCGTTTCTTACGGGGTCTACGGAGAATTTTTAGTCGAGCCTACGGACTCGGTTACCCCACATTAAATTCAGCCTTGTGACACATCTGACCGCGTGAGCAGTTGGTAGATATCCTGCAGTTGGAGATTCGTATCCACCTGTGCTGGTTAAACTCTCAACCTCCGGGCAGAGAGGATCCTCAGGTGAGGCTCTGTCGAAGGTCCGAGTCTCGTCTCGTCTCGTCTCGTCTCGGGAAACTGCTACTCGTCCCCGTTTTATAGGGGTCTACGGGGAATGTTTGGCCGAGCCTAGGGACTCGGATACCCCACATTAAATTCGGCTTTGTGCTACATCTGACCGCGTGGGGCGGTTGGTAGATATCCTGCTGTTAGTGATTCATTGTGGAATTCACTTGACTCATTCTAGTAGTTGACTACTACTGCGCGCCGCTGACGAATCTTATATGTGTTGTTCTTGTCCTAAGTATTATCGTTCATTACCAAACTTCGGTTGATTATTCTATTCAGCAACCTTCCCTAGGTCACAACTATCACCGAACTTAAACAATGTCGATCCTGGTTAGTACCGAGATGAGAGGCCGCTTCGGAAATGCACGTGCTCTAAGCTTGGATGTGCGGGTGGTGTAATGGATGATGACACGGAATTTGAATTTGGAGAGCTGATTTCCAATTCTATGTAGGCCCGTTTTATTGACTTACGCGCGGAAAGCCTTGGGAAAGTTATGGGTTCACATCTTCGCCCCCAACAACTATTTGTTTTTGCAGAAAAGTATCGATCTGGATGTGCGCTCGACACAAATTTATTTGTCAAATTTATTATACGATTTTCTATTCGGACAAGTGTACTTATAATTACAATTAGAATAGCTGAGCTTGCTGTACGATATTATGAGATTAGAAGGTTTAGAGAAGCTAATACAAACAAGACAAGAAAAGCCGAGTAAAAACTGCAGGTAACCTAATTAACGGATATGGAAAAACAAGTAAAAAGAGCAAACAATTACAGGAAATTGTGATGAGCCATGATCACTCAATTCCTAAAAGGACTTAGGACACTACTTGAATAGACTGGTCCACTAAAAAAAAAAAATAGGGATTTTATTTTTTGAGGGGAAGTACTTGTTGATTAGGATTCATTTACCACCAAACTTGTAAGATCTAAATTTTTTTATCGATTTAGATAGAGGGATCTGTTTATAATATCGATACAGTGTCAAATCAACCGCTAACTGGCATCAGAACTTTCCCCAGGAAAATTGCTCCCATACGGCAATTGCCTTCAGGTCGAGTGTCCCCACCGGGAAAAAATTAAAAGAAAGTCCAACTTTAGGAGTGGGATGAATAAATAATAATAAAACTAATTAGTGTTTTATTTTTATGTTTTATCCAATAAGTAAAATGTTATATTTATATCACTATATGAACTGTAAAATTATGAGACCTAGTCGCCAATCTAGTACTGCGCTTAAATTCATAAAATCTGGGGGTCATAGCAGAGAAATGCATTTCTTGCCTTTCCAAGACACCTTCTGATTTCCATGTGACATGTTGCGTCATATGTTACAAAAATTGCCCATATATGTTTAAACTTCTGTACTTGCTAGATTTCGACATCTCCAATACATTGGTTACCTTAACAGCATATCAATGTTTACTGGCTCATCTGATGTGGCGTGTAATTCTTGATATCAGGAGAACTACCCCCAAAACAACTGCTTCCTGACAATTGGCCCCTGGACAATTGTCCTCAAAGGACAACTGCCCACCGGACAATTGTTCCCATTAAGAGAAACGCACAATAAATTCTAATAAAGAGTGATTAAAGTTTTATTTTCATGTTTTATCTGTTAACCAATAAGTTCGTTTCTGACTATCCACGTGAGAAGGAAAATTTCTTCAGCGTTCAACGAACATATTAGAGAACTCTTCCACGACGAAAGAGAACAACCATTAATACAGAGATCTACCAACGGGCCTGAAATTCGATAACTGAAGTAGAAGCTGCACTGGCCAAATTGTACAGAAACAAAGCGGCAGGGCCAGACGGAATTGTATAAAAAATGCTGACATGATTTTGTCATAGACAAAATTACAGAAATAATAAATGAAATTTACAATATTAGGGATATACCAGAAGATCTCAGTAATGACACATAACTGTAAAAACTTCTAAAAGATGTGTTCTTTCCATTGTCAGAGTGCCCACTTGTCCAGGTCGCTGGTTGTTTTATAGGGAGGGTGTCTAGGGGCGCTTGTCAGCGGAGGGCAATTGTCCAGGAGGTAGATGTCCTTTCACCGTAATTCTTATAGGCCAGTCCTCGGTATGACGATAGACTACATCCGGAAGCAAGGTTCTGTGATCGAGAGATTGGTGATTTTCATGGTATCCAGTCACAATAATATTTATTTAATATTATTTACATTTTTATATCACTATAATTACACAAGTAAAATTGGTATCGCTTTCTTCCGGGGTGGGGGTATTCCGCCATCTTTTGTATGTCGATAGACTACATCCGTTAACAAGGCCCCTGATCCAGATGTTCTAAGGAGCATGAAATCACCTTTTAATCCTTGTTGTTACCAGGTTCATCCTGACCCGTGTGGTAGCACATGTTAGAGTCCCAGGTGGTGTCAAAACACTATGAAAGCATAAAAAAAAAAAAATTGAATTAGAAAAATACCAAACTAAGTACGCAACTCTAATATTTTCCCCGCTTCTTTTGTCACCAGTGTATCCTTTGCATGCAAAGAATATTACACGAGCTTTTAAGTTAATGTTTTGGTTGTGTACCAATTTGCAGGGTTGGTCGAAACTATCACTGGCTGAACGTATTATATGGCCAATTCCGAAAAAGAAGAAGGACGACGACGAGAAGAAGAAGGACAAGCAGAAAGAGAAGGAGTAGTATGAGGAGGAGACGAAGAAGAAGAAGAAGAAGAAGAAGAAGAAGAAAAGAGGGAGTAGGAAAAAGTAACAGCAGTAGAAAAAAGAAGAAAAAAGAAGAAAAAGGGGGAGGAGAATAAGCAGAAAAGGAAGGAGGAGGAGACGAAGAAGAGGAGGGAGAGTATTCCGAAGAAGACGAAGGAAGAGAGAAGAAAAAGAAGTGGCAGCAGCAGACCAAGTACAAGAACAAGAAGACGGAGAAGTTGAAGGAGAGGAAGAAGCAGAAAGAAGAAGAAACTGGAGGTGAAGAAGAAGAAGAAGAAGAAATAGCAGCAAAAGAAGAAGAATAAGGAGAAGCAGAAGGGAAGGAGGAGGTACATAAGATGATGAAGAAAGAGGAGGAGGAGAAAGAGGAAAAGAAACAGAATAAGGAGGAGTAGAAGGAGGAAAAGAAAAAGAATAAGGAGGAGAAGGAAAAGGGGGAAAAGAAACAGAATAAGGAGGAGGAGAAGGAGGAAAAGAAAAAGAATAAGGAGGAGAAGGAAAAGGAGGAAAAGAAACAGAATAAGGAGGAGGAGAAGGAGGAATAGAAACAGAATAAGGAGGAGGAGAAGGAGGAATAGAAACAGAATAAGGACGAGGAGGAGGAGGAAAAGAAACAGAATAAGGAGGAGGAGAAGTAGGAAAAGAAACAGAATAAGGAGGAGGAGAAGGAGGAAAAGAAAAAGAATAAGGAGAAGAAGGAAAAGGGGGAAAAGAAACAGAATAAGGAGGAGGAGGAGGAAAAGAAAAAGAATAAGGAGGAGGAGAAGATGAAGAAGAAAAATCTCCTTAAAAACAAAGAAAATTATGAAGAACCTGTATATAATATTAATTTCCTATATTGCAGTGAATTATGTATACTTCTTTAGGGATGAACAGACAGATAGAGATGTGGTTCAGCCGAAAATTCCAGTCAACAACATGGACTGGACATGTGAAAAACAAGAAAGTAAAAAAAAAAGAAAAAGATCAAAAAAGTCAATTATATATGAGGTGACATTTCTGAAACGCATAACGAGGAAAGAAAGTGTAGAGAATTTAACACTCGTTTGAAATACTGAAGGTTAAAGAAAAGGCAAGAAATATAATAAGCCTTCTTAACAGATATGTGTGAATGGGTGACATAACGAAGAAAAACACCGAAAAAAAAAACACAGGATTTTTGACGAGTCAATGAAATTCCGAAGGGATACGGCGCATTAAAAAAAAGAAATCACATCGAAAGCATAAAAATTACTCTTGATGTACACATCACAAAGGTAAGACAGGCTTTTGGCGCCATTAGATAAAACCTGTGTGGACGTGTTCTGTGTTTTAATCAAAGAGAATTATTTCAGATATACAAGATATAGGTTAGTGGGGTCTCTGAGAATGCATGAACGTTGACTGAAAAATATGTTCACTATTCCGATAAAAAAAAAAAAAAATCTACACCAGAATGAATCTGGTATCAAAAGGATATGAAAGATTTCGCTTGAAGCCTTCGAGTTATAAATGCTTCAAATTATATAAAAGAAATTTGGCACCAGATAGAATAATGCGACGGTATCAAAACGATTTTTATCTTCTGAATACAAAGTTTATTTTCCACATCGCTATAATTTACCTCTATATGTGTTAAATTGCAAGTTCCCTAATCTGCCAATGTTTTCCATTATCATGGCTGATGCTTACTCACAGGAGAGTGACTCTGTTGCAGAGTAGCTAGCACTCTGCCAGATGGCCTGGCTCATAGCCTTAAATAGTTTACGAGTAGGGACATCAACAGTTGATTAATAAGTTGATACTAAGCTGATTAATATTCGGACTGATCTTGCTTCGTTTGGCTATACACCATTTGACCCTCTTCTAGTCCTTGTAAGTTGTCTTGCTAATTGTTTTGTAACTTATTGTTCTGTGTCTTTTTACGTGTCCGTTAGCACTGGATACTGGTGCTGAATAAATAAATATATTAAGCCCTTTTCTGTGCTGAATAAATATATTGAGCACTTATTCTTTTCTGTGTATTATTCACCTCGACGATATAACAGACTGATTGCGTTTTCCGCTGATATAAAATGGAAAGATTATATTAAATCCCTTGCTAGGCTGGATGATTAGAAGTTTGGTTCATTCCGTCGTACTAGACAATTTTTCTCTCCAGAGTCTATTTGACATATTTATGTCTATCATTCGTCCATGCTTTGAATATTGCTGCTACATCCAGTCTGGTGCTTTGTTTAAGTATTTATAGATTCTTGATATAATCCAAAGCAGAGTCCGCAATATTATCAGACCTGAGCTGGCATCTTGGCTTCAGTCATTTTCACACCGGCTTAATGTAACTTCCCTGCTTTCTTTTTTTTTTCTTTTTCTGTAAATGTTTTCATGATAAATGTTCTGATAAGCTTTCTTCATTGACACGTAGACGCTAACATTGAAGCGCAGTACTAGATTGGCAGCTAGGTCCCATCATTTTATAGTTCAAGATGTAACAGTAAGTTTTATACTGACAGTATCTTCTCTCGCATTTCTCACTTTTGGTACTCACTTCCTGTTTCCTGCTTCGCCGTCAACTTTAATCTTCAAAGATTTAAATGCAGTGTCAATCGTTACTTTGTTTCTCTATTTAGTTCTTTTTTGTTCTACCTTCTTTAATTATTTTTTTCTTTTTCTCATATTCTGCAACACACAGTAACGCCTTGAGTTTTAGTCGCTTTCTTGCCTTGATTTGGGTGAAATGATTAAATGAACATACAAAACAGTTTTAGACTAGGTAGAATAATGAAACTGGTATCAAAATGATGTAAATGTATTTATATTCTTAAAACCCTGTCTGGAATGATAAGCAAGATCTCTAATAATATAAAACAGAATTAAGAGAAAAGAAGAGAATTTGTATTAAAAGTAAGCAAATTCATTTTCCTTCAGCATTACCAGGTTTGATTGATAAGGAAGATATCCAATACGATAACACAAGATTTAAAAGAATACAAAAAAACGAAACTGGTATTAATGAAAAAAAAAAAAAATTAAATTTCAAATTTATAATAGTTGGAGAGTAATGTCTCAAATTATATAAAGCAAACCTTACATGATGTATTAGGATCTTGAATAAGTTCTCGCTGTTTTTCCAACAGAGGGAGTTCTCAGAACTGCGCGCGTGTTGTTTCAGATGATAACGCATCTTATAAAGAGGTAATCTAAACAAGCTTGAAATTCAGTGTATTTAATAGCGTTAAATATGTCGGATTTCGTGTCAAAGAAAGCGTATTTACTGGGAATTTTGCTGCATATATTTATTCAAAAGAAATCTGTATCTGAAACAGAATTCTTGTTGAGACTTGCGGCGACCATGCTCTGTTGAAAACAACACGCACAGATTGGTTTAGATGCTTAAAAAAATGACGATTTTGATGTTGAAGATAAAGAACGCTCTCTCACACCGAAAAAGTTTGAAGACGAAGAATTGGATGCATTACTTCTTGAAGACTTATGTCAGTCGCAAGCTGAAGTTGCAGAATCATTAGAAGTTGGACTTTGCAACACTTTCGAAACGTTTGAAAGCATTATGAATGATTCAAAAGCAAAGACATTGGGTGCCTACGAGCTGAAGCCGAGAGACGTAGGACTGCGTCTTGTCACATGTGAATAGCTGCTTCAACGGCAGAAAAGGAAAGGTTTTATGCATTGTATCGTGACCGGCGATAAAAAGTGGATACACTCCCACAAACCTAGGCGTAGAAGATCGTGGAGTACTACAGACGATGCATAAACATTGGCGGAAAAGCCGAATATCCATGGTTCAAAGCTTCCGCTTTGCATTTGGCGGGATCAGCTGAGTAGTTTATTATGAGTTGCTCAAACCGACCAAGACCATCACTCAAGATCGCTATCGACTACAACTGATGCATTTTGGTCCGCTATACGAACAGAGACACAACAAAGTGAATTTGCAACATGACAACGCTAGGCCACATGTTGCAAAACAGGTGAAAACCTACTTGGAAACGTTTAAATGGAAAGTTCTATCTCACCAGCCGTATTCACCAGACATTGCCCCGTCCGATTAACACTTTTTCCGATAGATGGCTCATGGTCTGACTGAACAGCACTTCCAGTCTTATGAAGATGCCACAAAATGGGCCGACTCGTGGTTAGCCTAAAAAAACATGTCGTTTTTTTCGACGTTGATTTCAAATGCTACCAGAAAGATAGGGGGAAAGTAGTGGCTAGCAATGGACAATACATTCAGAGAAATGTTTCTTACTAATTTTGGTAAATAAAACATTACTTTTCATGAAAAATCAGCAAGAATTTATTGAAAGTCCTAATAAAATATAGAAAATGTGAAAAAATTAAATAAGTTTCCAGAGCGCCATAATTTGCTACAAGGAATAAATTGTCAAATGCTATGAAACTGAGAGTAGAATTGAACTGATGTTAAAAGAAAACAAATTTATTCTGCTTCAAAACTGCGAGAGTTTTATTACCAATACTAGAAAAATGAATTTCGAAGAGAAAATAGAATTAAACAGATTTTCCTTAAGATTTCTTCCTTGCTTACACGCTCCGTCCTTGCGCACCTTTTTGTAAAGCTACTTAAGTTTTGTCTCCGAACTTCTCTTCATCTGTGAGGAGATTGTCTAGCATTCAATACTACGTATCTTAGCGTAAACAAGGACAACATATAATGAAATGTATTAAGTCCGAAAATTATTTAGTATATTTTCTGTTATACGCCATTTTTATAGATACAATTTATTTAAGTAAATGCTCTATTTTTTAATTAAACAGTTGTCATTGTTTACGTTAAGATACGTTTCGTGGGCAGATATGATCGATCGAGACAAATCGTTGAAGATTGTGTGTTTAAAAACAGTAATTTTGACTTTGCTAACCAGACGTCTCTCTGTAGGTATATAGTATAGCGCGTCAGATCAAATGACGTTTTCTGCATAGGAATATGGGTTCGATTCCTGTGGGAGAATGCATATTTTCTGCAAAATTTCTCGAACATTCAGGACGGTAAATGTAATTAGTATTGTCAATTAAAAAAACAAAAAGAAAACAAAACAAGGCATTTACTTAAATAAATTATATCTATAAAAATAACGTATAAATAGAAATTATATATATTGGGTTGATGCATAATTATCAGGCGTTTTTTAAACAATATTTATTATGAAAAGAGAAACATAATCTAACAATGACATTTTTAAATGGTTATTCCGGAGCGTATGATTATCGATAAGCATTTTTACAACCTGAAAATAATATATTTTTATGAAAAAAAGTAAACAAAACAGCATTTTTTATTAACAAATAACACGCCTACAAAAATGCCTAATAATTATGCGTATAATAATATATTAATACTTCAGTTGTTATTTTAGTGGATACCCGTGTAACGAGAAAAGTATGCAGGTTTAGGCTTTTAAGAAAGCTTTATTCAACTGAGAATACAAGATTCGAGTATACTGCTTTTGTTTTTGTATACAGAAATAGCTCTCTCGAAGAGGAGAGTAACAAAACAAGGGGAGACAACTCTTGATTATTCATAACAGCCGGTATTTGAGGAGAAAGCCTCAACTTTTTTTTAATAGGGTTTATTTCGTGCACCGATCTCTTGACATTCGATAAAAAAATAAAAAAAATAAAAATAAAAACCTAAGAAAAGATGATATGCCTTCCAGTATGATTTAAACGTGGGTCCCGCTTCGTAGGACGAACCACCGATCCGGCCTGATTAGGACACTCGACGAGGAAAGAACTCATAGCCAATCAAAATCTTCTTTGCCTTAAAGCAACATGTCTTCGTTCAGATTTTTCTCGCAAGCCATATCTGTTCAGTTTCCTACCCGAAACATAAACATAGCAATTTATAAAGAATTAATATTTTTTTTTTATTTTCAATCCGACATATTTTTCATTATTTTAGACTTATTTGTAGTGTATATCCATATTTGAGTAGAACGCCGATTTTTTTTACATTGTATATTTTGTCTCCCGACCTTCGCAAAAAAACAAAAAAAAAAACGCGGTGTTCTAAAATTATAAAACTAGCGTCTTCAGTAATAAAAATATGCCAGCTTAAAGATTAATTCATTATATATATATATATATATATATATATATATATAAGATACAAAGACAAGGTGAAAAGCAACTTGTCAGCTGTCAATATACCACATAACACCTTTGAGAGCTTAGCCTTGAAGCCGGTAGAATGGAGATCAACGTGTTTTAGTGGACTCAGCAGTTTTCAATCTGCTTGTCTGGATCATCTTCAATTTATTATTATTATTATTATATACTAGCAGTAGAGCCCGGCGTTGCCCGGGGATGTAACAGTAAGAGATAGATCAAGTATCGACCATCATAAAGACTGAAAAATAAAATTGACAAGGATTATTGTTTAAGGTTGACGGACACACATGTCTTAATTAGTGGGTTTTTTTTAACGAATTGGTCAAACCCAAACTCAAACAAAAACATTGTTTTCAATCGTTATGAGTCTACCTATTGAATAGAATTTTATTATAAACAATTGACTTGTAAATGGAATTTTTAAAGCAATATTCTGAATGTAAAAATAAAGAAAAAAGTGTGCAAGACAATAAGAAACACTACCTGCCAAAAAAAAAGTGAAGTTTTGTTGAAATCGGTTGAAAAATGTAGGAAATCCGATCCAATATATAAACGAACACACCCACACACAAACAACCTGGGTTTTATAATAAGTATATAACTCGATATGAGTTGTCCCCCTTTTGTCGCGAGGACTCTTAATCGTGTTTTCAAATTGATTTTGTGCAAAAACAATTGTGTTTTTCCAATTTTTATGATGGTCATAATTTTGTTTAGGCATGCCTGATGAAATAAATTACAGACACTATGTCTGTTAATTTTTAACAAAATACGTCCATACTCTTGAATAACCCTCCGTGTATTGTTATTAAAGGATGAGACAAATATGCTATAAAAGTTTAATCACTTTTATGTCCTCTTTCCCAAAAGTACTTTTGATCTTCTTCACGGGGTGTATTAGTACAAAACTGTGTGTTGTTCAGTGGTACAAGTCGTTATACAAAGCTGTGTATTGTTATCAATCACTGTAATTTTTCATTATGCTTTCAAATGTAACAGTTGACAGTCGTGCTTAGCGTTCAATACAACGTGAAATAATTATCCATTATGGAATTTTTTCTTCAAAGTTATAATGTCACGGTCATACGCGCATCAAAGCGTGAAAAAAACTGTTCTTTTATAGGCATTTCAGAACATTATTTATTTAAATTTATTTAACTACAATTTTGTATCGAATTAATCTTAAATCTTCTTTCAAGTATTCTAGCCATGAATGATTTTTTTTTGCTTTTAATAATATACTAGCAGCATGGACCGGCGTTGCCCGTACTTGATTCAAAAATTGTACGACTCATACAGAAATCGCTATCACTTGAATTAAAATATTTTTGCCCTTCCTTGCTTTTAAATGAGTGCCCTTCCCGTGCTGATATTGCTACATGCCTTACTTCTTGCCTATCTCAATTTGCGAATTTTTTCTAAGCTCTATACTAAACATTAAATCTGTTACGAAAAAAGAACTAAACAAAATGAATACAAAACGATCAGCTTTAAAAAAGGACTCGTAACTAGAAAAACCGAATGAAAAAAGAATGTTAACAACAAATCCTTTTTCACACTAACCCAATTCCGCGGAATCAGAATCAACGTCGAGTTTAAGCAAGCGAATGAGCCAATTGGAGTAAAGTGCCATGCAGATTTAATTTTTTTCCCACTTGTGACGAATGCAGCTATCGATTTTTTTTTGCATGCTAGCATGCTAGTTAACATTCGTGTCAGTCAGCTGTTGGCTCTCACTCTGGCCAGTACGAAATGGCCGCAAACTAAATGAAAACTGCTGTAGAAGCATGAAACAATCGATTATTTCCACTATCGATGCGAGTTGGGAAATGCAACGTCGGTCTTGGCGTTCCCGCTAACTTGGAGCATGTGCATGTAAATGTTGGTGCAAATCTGTCGAAAATTGCGGCCGATCATTCGATACACATACACACACACACACACACACACACACACACATCCTGCCTTTTATAGATAGAGATACTGCAAAACCTTGATTTTTTTATATTATTATATACATTATATATATATATAAGTTTATTTACACCCTTGTGCAAATTAATTGAATCAACCGCTTTATTTTCCTTCACAATACGGTCAGTTTTAGAGCCACTGGAGTGGCCGGGTGTAATTGGGTTCTATTCTTTTTTCCCTCAGATTAGGCCATTTGCAGTGCTGCAAGAATCTATTTTCGGGATGTGTAAAGAAATTTGTTTTGCCATGAAAAATATTGCGTCATCCGTCATCACGCCCAGACTACTACTATCTCGACTGTCGATTAGTTGTCCTACGGCCATTGTCTGCGACGGACGTTACTCCAAGGAAGCATACAAAAATTGTAACGCGAAAACACTGGCAAACCTTACAAGTGAGCAATTCAAAATACTAGACTGGGCGGGAAACTTCTGATTTAAATCCGACTGACTTCGTCTAATGGACATACGAAGTTAACTGTGCCATGTTTCATTGAAAAAAGACGAAAACAATAAGTAAATAATAACAGAATGTTTTCGTTTTGTTTCAATTAATTTGCACAGTGTTATACTACCTTGAATAGATTCCTCACATGTCACTTAACAATCAAATATGTCTAAAAAATCAACTAGCTACCCACAATTTTACATGGGTGTATTATAAAAATGATATACTCGTAAAACCAATCTAAAGAGATTTATTTTCATATGCACACTTATTGCAATTTGAACGCCTTTCAAAAATAACTTCATAACTTTTTAAAATGTTCGAGACACACCTTCAAACCTCTCATGTCACATCAGTGTTTAGCGGTGCATCGGTTAAAAACTACTCATCAAAATGCATGGAAAAATTATGGCATTAATTGAAATAATTGTATCTACTTTATGAAATGGCTGTTTCCTGAAGCCAGGAGGTTTTTATTTTTTATTTATTTATTTTTTTTTTAAGCATTTCACCCCAAGCAAGGCGGGAAGCCACTAGGACGCAAGGGGTTACAAAAAATATAGAGCGAGATCAGATAGGAGTGATAGAAGAAAGGATGAGGAGAAGGGTAGTGGATAGATCAAGGCAACTGGAGATGTCGATTGACATTACATTTGAATAGTTGGAGATTATAGCTCTCAGGAAAACTGGAATAGGGAAGGGAGTTCCACAGGCGAGAGATGCGAGACATGAAGCTATTAAAGTAGAAGAGACGGCTACATTTAGGAGTTTCAACAGTGAAGGGGTGAGAGCGGGATGCCAGCCTCGTAAGGCGCTGGAACTCATGAAGTCTGGGAACCAGCGAATGCATCTCCTCGGAGCAATTACCATGAAAGTATTTGTGAAAAAAAAGACAGAGAGAGGCGATGGCGCGTCTGTGAGAAAGTGACTTTAGACGAGAAAAGAAAGTTTCTTTTTTTCTGTTGTGAGTATATTTACTGCTAAAAGAAAACACCCTCTAAGTGTGCTAACTCAATAATTTCTGTCAGGGAATGTACATATATGATCTATGCCCCAATTTGTAAAGCCCACAATTTAAAACTAGACTGTTGATTGAAATTTGGCATTGGGGTAGATGTTTACATTGGCTATGTGACTTACCCTGACTGAATAGATGAGTGTCTGAAAATGGTTAATAAACACCTGTTTGTTTTTTTAATTGTTTGTTTTATTTAACATTTGTTTTCATGATTCAAAAGACATACCTCTTAATTATTTCTTCGTATTTATTTTATATAAAAAAAATTAATTTCGAATTGCAATGTAAATAATATATTACAAATGCAAATACTTGCCATTATTCCACGTTGGAGGCTAACGTGACAGACGAGGAGGCATTACTTTTGGAGCCGAGTGTTTATGGTTGCGTATTAAGAGGATAGATAGATAGCAGACTGGGATAGATAGATAGATAGATAGATAGATAGATAGATAGATAGATAGAAGGCGGAGATAGATAGATAGATAGATAGATAGATAGAAGGCGGAGATAGATAGATAGATAGATAGATAGATAGATAGATAGATAGATAGATATGAAAATATCAATGCCCTTTCATATATTCAAATATATATTCATATATTCATAAATGTTCAGTACTTATTCCTTTCTTTCTCAATCTTCGAAAAAAGTTTGGCATGTCTGCTTTAGAGTCCTACTTTGCGTGGGAGGGTGAGTGGCCCCCAGAATCGAATTGAGGAAACGAGTCTTTTATCGATTGAGCCACAAACACGTCATTCGCCATTTAGCGCTGTGTTTTTTTGTTGTTTTTTTTTGTTTTTTTTTTTACGCTCATCAAATGTTTATTCTCATAATTAGTTTGTAAAATATCTAAACGAAACAAATGTAGAAATGCCACATGTTCGATTGCCTTAATTATTTATCGTCTGGGTGCAGAGTCTGGGTCATAAAAATAAAATGGATGCTTCTGGAGAAACGAACGGGCTTCGAGCCAAACACGAAATGACCAAGTAAATATTTAATTAAACAAACGAGCAGGTAGCGAAGAAGAAGGAGAAGAAGAATTAGAAAAAAAAACAAAAAAAACAAAAACAAAACAAAACTGGAAGAATAAAAGAATAACAGAATTAAATAAATATTTTCCTTGGTTCACGTGGTGCATTTAGAGGCTTGGCTTAGTGATGGAGATAAACAGACCAATGTCTCGAGAACTTATCCCAAATGGTATTAGGTTGGTTAAGTTAATTAGCACGAACTTCGGAACAAGAACCATTTTGCAGAGACTTTTAACTCAGGTAGAAAATCTCCAGCTTTGTGTGGTTGTAGAGAGTCTGAGTAAAAGACGAGATCACCACGAATATATGTACTTGATATTACTGGATGAGAAGGATAAATTGCCCTGGAAAGACCGAGATAGATAGATAGATAGATAGATAGATAGAGAAAGACAGAAAAACTGAGATAGATAGAGTAAAAGAGAATGATGAAAAGACTGAGGAAGATAGTGAGTGCTGTAACATACCTAGGGACGATAATGGGTATGTCTCCATTCCCATATATACAGTAGTAAATACTGTATGTTGGTCTGCAGTTGGAGATCCATTATGGAATTCACCTGACTCACGTCTAGCAGTTGACTAATTTTTCTACGCGCTGCTAGCGAATCATGTGTTGTTCGTGATCTAAGTATTATCGTTTGATTATTCTATTCAGTAACCTTCCTTAGGTTACGATAGATAGATAGAATAGATAGATAAATAGATAAAATAAAATAAAATAATCACTCATATAAGGTACACTTCAATTTACTTACCATTTATAACCGTATGTAATAGTACTACCAAATTCAATGTTTAAACATATTGTAAAGTGAAATGTAAACTATGCCTTCAATTTACAATTGATTCATTTCCTTGGCTTAATAGAGAATTTTTATCAGCAAATCTTATAATTTCCAATTTCTTGTGGAAGCATGAGAACCAAGATTCATTTAAAGATTTACAGGTTCTAGCTTTTTTTAAAGCCTTACATTGGAGTTTCATTGACCTATTTTAAATGCCAAACAAAAATATGTTCTATTTTTATAAGTGCTATTAGTGAAAGATAAGATATGTTGGTATCAGCTAGTTTAAAACAATTCTTGGTACTCTCTATATACAATTTTTCAACAGTCGGATTTTCTATTGTAGTAACAGTGCTAAGATAAAATATTGAATTGTTCAGACATTTGTTTTTCAGTGAGCTTTAAACTTCAAAGTCCATTCATGAACCATCAAGTGAACGGTGCATAAGTTTATAAAAGAAGGA